TGAATGAATCTATTTATTTATTTAAACATTAAGGATATGGTCCACTTGACGCTACAAATGCTTCGAAGATTTTGATTTGATTAACCAATCGAAAGAAAGAATTTTACTAATTGACCAAAAAATGCTTCAAAGCATTCTTAGCATCAAGCGGTAGCCTAAGTTGAACAGTAAAATACTGATTATAGTGTTTAAAAGTATAAAAAATGAATGGTCTAACAGAATAACCATCCGAGTTAATCTGCTGTTTGAAAAAACTATCCCTTTAACTCGATTAAGATCTTCCGATGATTTTCTATTGATCATAGACATGAATTTATTTGTCAGATTTTCACAAGCATTTCAGAAGTACTTTCGAGATTTTTAAAAGAATATAAAAAAACGATCAAAACAGCAGCCGACCATTTCGAATAAAAAGGAAGAGAGACAGAACAAGAGAATGAGAAGGGTCTTCGTTGGACCACCTGGTTAATTTGAATCGCTAGTTAGTGGCAGTAAACTTCTGTGTACCGCAACAATAAGCGATAAACTGTTAACTGCTACATTTTACTAAGGGTTTGAATCACGAGTACTAATACGAAGACAGAGCGATCCCTACAACGTAAAAATGAGGGTTGAGTCAGCGATAAAATCAATTAGTCGCAGAAAAACTTAAAGTATGTGCCTTTAATAAAATAATGTGCATTAAGATTCTACTTATTTAGAATTGAAATAAAAGAAATATAAAATTTCAATGATGTAATATACTTTTAACACTTTTAATACTTACACTTATAACTCTTAATATTCATTACTCAAATTAATTTTAACGTAATATCAATAAGTAATACAGTACCTAAAAATGATGCTGTTTTTTGGCTAAAATATGATTTATATCTTCCCTCAAATAAAAATTTCTTATCTCTCCAGATGAGAAATGACAATGGAATCGACATTGAATCGATATTAATTCGATGTCAAAATTATTAAATCAACGTCGATTCCGTTGTCATTTCTCACTGGGATATATGAACGTATTAAGTATTGCAAATAAATTAATACCGAATAGTATTTCCAAATATTGAGTTAAATCTCCGTCATATTGTTTGCATTCACGCAAATTTGTGCGTTCAAAAATGTTATTAAACTAGAAAACTCGGGAAGACTCCACTCGATCATTGGAGGGTTGCAATAATTTGCGGGCACAACTGCACCGGTGAAGCGACTACTATCCACGGCGGGGGACGGGAGAGAGAGCAGTAAAACAATGAGACGCAGACAAATTGGGTTGCGTGCTCGAAACAAGTTGGCACAGCTATCGCCAAACAGTCGTGGGAGCTCGGCAAATGTTGCTCGATTGCCCCGAGAGCTCGAGACTTCTCCATTTTTTCCCGCCAACGCTCGGAACTTCCTGGACAAGGAGCGGATCGAGGGGAAAGGAGAAATCCGAGAAAAACGACGGACGTCTCGCGGGTCTCTTTCTCGTGTTGAACACGATTCTAACCGAGTTAGACGATGCAATGCACGTATCATTTTGAGCTCTTAAACTGCCATTCTGAGCTTTTATAAACTAACAATAAAGGTCTTATAGCACGCGCAATATTTTTCTATAAAATTATGGTAGACTGTATGAATAATTTTAATAATTGTCTTAATGTTACACAAAACTGTTACAATATCGATATCAATTACATCATAATCTATTTTATAGAATGCAGCACAGAATTTGCAGCAACATCGGTGCAATACTGCTGCAACATACAATATTGCTGCAATGTTGCAGCATTGTTGCTTCAACTTTTGCACTGTAGGGCTTTAATCCTTTATTTATTAAATATTTATGTAACACCAATCACCGAAAATAATAATCAGTTTCTAAGTACTTTGTAAATTTTTAAATACAAATCAATCTATAACGAATTATATTTTCTATTTAAGTTATCAGAATTTTTCATAAAATAAAAAGTAATCATTATCATTAATATCATTTACAATGTATATTACAAATTTATATTATAAACATATTATAAATGGTATAATTTGTAGTACATAACCGTCACGTTAGTAACTCAGATATAAAATAACTAAAAGTCAGCATCTTGACCATTATAATACAAGTGTTTTCCTGCTTTCCGGTAGCCGTTAGATTTTATTTCCAGATTATAAATTTGACCAAGACGCGGCTATGAGAACAGCAGAAAAGTCGGGTCCACCCTCTTCCGCACTTTTTGACTTTCTGTGTGGTGGAGCCGCGCGATTGTATGACGACCGGTCTGAATAAACCGGAAACTCGCCCCATCGTCACTGCTGTCCTTTTACCTGTTCCACGTTTCTCGAATCGCGCTTTTCGAAACCCCATTTTTCCAGCATGCTACCGTCGCGTGCATTTATTGTGAGTGCTCGCATTCAGGTGCGCATCTCTCTTCTTGCGATTGGATACAACCTGCGATTCCATTCAACGACACCAACGAGTCCGACGAATCATCAATTTCGAAGAGTCGGCTGAACTGGGAGATCAAAAGTATGGGAGATCCCCTGTTTAAAATGGAGTACCCAAATATTTCTTAAAATTTAACCATATTGAGAAATGTTTAAGATAAATTAGGGACCCCAAAGAACGTGGATTGCGAAATTCTTTGAGACATTTTCCCACCATAAAAATCTTATTCTTCTTATACTTTTTATGTCCTTTACATACATTTATATTTTCTCCTTAGAATTATAAAATACATGGAGAGGACACTTTTACTGGATACAAATTTAAAAATCTAATTTTGTTCGATTATCAAAATTTTTATGTAGAAAGTCAAGCGTAATGAGCAAAAAGTTTTGACATTCTAGTAATTAGCTTGAGCTCCTACAAAATTATTTTGATAATCTGACAACATTTTTTTTCAGATCTGTATCTGGTTAAATTTTTAAATCCTTCATCGTTCTCTCCGTGTGATATATGCGATATATTACGCGAAAAATATTGCAAAATATTTTGCATCGCACGACAATATCTTGACATCTTTGGTAATCAATAATACTGTACGATCCTGACATGTAATATGGCTTCGGTATTACCGTGATAATATTTTATCTGCGATCAAAATGTCGTGAAAAAAGGTCGAAGCGAATTCGATTTGATTAAATCGCAGGGTCCGAAATTATTTTTATGCGACGGATGATGATACGTGTTAGGCCAAATGATAATCGCAAAATAACCGACTTTATCTACCACGTCAACGTAATAAATGCGTGTCCGCGAATAATAACTGAGTGGGTGGATATAAAAAAGAAATCAGGTCAGAGCCTTGTCGTTGCGCATTATGTCTTTTTTTCACGCGCGCGAGCATCATGATTATCAGGGAAAAAAAGAGACCTGATCGTCACGGAACGCGCACGTAATAAATGTCTCACTATAAAATTAGCCGTCACACTCTTCGTCCAAATTATGCTGGCAGTCTGATTTATTTACCTGTCGCAACAAATTTTACTTCTTATTTGATTACTCCGTCCATTTACTTCTTCGATTACAGGTTTAGATTAGCATCTTCATTTGATTTCGCATTTTTTAATTGAAATTTCTTACTTTAGTAAGAAGCACCTGAAAGAATCACAATTGAAAGAATAATAAATTCGCTCAATATGATTACTGAACTTAGTAAATACATATCTGGTAGACAGGTGATTTCTACATAGCACAGGATTTCCATACATTTCAGCAATATTGCAGCAACATTGCAACGTTCCAGCAATATTACAGTACCAAGTAAACGTTACAATAATGTTACTACAAGTTCTGTGCTGTATGGAACTGTAAAATATATAGAAAGTTCAATTTCAGAGAATTTATAAGATTTCATTTAATATACTAATTACCTATCGTATTATTAAATTAATAATGTACGATATTTTATTATGGGAATAATTTCATAAAATTAAGCATATACTTCCTTTAGTTTCTTGTCCTTTCAATTATACTCGAATTGACGACATTCGGTTTTTTGCAAACAAGCCCTTAAAAAAGGACAGTGAGCTGATTGATCATACGTATATTTCGTTCGCATTTGTGTAACACTCACCCGTAAGTCGCGACCACGCTTCTAACCCAGTTTTACGTATCAATAGGCAGCGATCTGAGTGCCACGAGGGATGGAGAGGAAAGGGAGAAAATAGGGCGGGGATAGAGGGAACGGGTGCAAGTGAAAAATCGAAATGACACGGTAAAAGCACCGCTAATGCTCTTTCACATTAACACTCGACGTAAAGTATGCTCTCGGTGTAAAAAGCCTCCTGATCGATGAAGCCCGGCGATTGGCTCGCTCGCCGAGCTGGATTGAAATCAACCCCCGGGCTGTCGGGCGAGGGTTTCCCGACACGCGACTACCCCATTGGTTGGCCGACGGTTCCACCCCTCGGCAACTTGCCCCGGTAACATTACCAGTCGCACGGAGTCTCCCGAGCAAGGGATATCCTTCCATATAAGATCGCTAAAAGTGGCAAAACTTTGCTAGAATATCACAAGTGTGAAACTTTAACATATATAAAAAATTAATATGGCACATTTTCCATGAAAAAATATAGCGATAAATATTTTTAGAATTTTTAGAATTGGTTAGCAAAAACAATTTGCTAAAGTTACATATCAAATCATATTTTGGAAAAAAAGATTATATCAAATTGTGCTATTCAAAAAAGTTAAATTTTTTCATATATAAGGAACTCTTAGTTGCTGATATGGTCTCTGTATGATCGCAATAAATCATATCTTGAAAAATTTACGAATACTTTTTGCTTTCTTTGTAATTGTCAAAAATGAATTATTTTACACATTTAAAAATATCAGTTTACAACTTTAATAAATTACTTGCTGTTTAAATAAGATAAAACAATCGAACTTTTCATCAGAGATATATTATTATCATTGTATTTATTTTTTAAATAAGACTTCTAAATATAACAACAATAAAAAAAATCTCCTATTCGACGCTTCTGCCGTGAAAAAGCTTTCCCAAGTTACAGCCGGGTGTCGATGGCAGGGAGGGATACGCGACGAGGAGAACGAACTGGAGGGATGAACGAGAAATCCCCGCCTCCACGTAGAACCCGCCCTGCGCTTTGAGGGTGCTTGACAAGCGAAACTGCTCGAGGTAGGGAACACTAGCCGTCAAGTGCTCGTCGAGGACACTCAAAAACTACAAGGAGAGTCCTTCAGCAGCTCCGAAAAGGAATCGGTAGCCTGCTTTTCATGCCACTCAAGCAGAGTCGCCTTTCGCGTAATCCATTAATAGTTATTAGTGCTAGTGATAATTGACGACCGATAATTGACGAGTGTCTCGAAAAAACGGCATAAGAATCGGTGATTGGATTAATCGGACTAATTATTCGGATATATGTGCTAGACTTTCGTTGCACATATCCGAATTGCCATTGTGTGAAAAATCAGTTATTTATGCTAAAATAGAGATGACAGTGTTGTGTGACAAAGATAGAAGAAAGTGAACAAGAAAAAAAGAACCGAAAATATCATGGGCAGCTGCAATCGTGGAAAAATAGAAGAGACCAGACAGATTTCTATAAAAGCCGATCGAAATAAAGAATGTACTATAGAAAAGATATAATACACATGCACCGTTAATTTTCTTGAAGTAAGAACAGGTAAATTATAAATTAAAGATCTATACGCGTGGAAGATAGAAGACAAAAATTTCAATTTTCATCCGTATTATGCAAAACGAGTGAAGGTGAAAGAAGAAAAATGAAATGAAGGAGTAAAAAGAAAGATAGAGGAAGAAATCTTCTAAATTATTAAACGAAAAGAACTTAATTTCAATTTCTGATTATTGAGCAGTTGAAAAAGATAAGAAAGCAAGGGTTAAAAACAAATACGTGATGAATTAAAAGAGATTTTTTTAAACCTTGATATGTGTCGTCGTTAAAGAGTGTAACATGTATCGACGCTAATAAAAATAAAAATCATAAATTTAAAAATCTTCTCAAAATGGCAGATAAGAATAAGCTTTTACCCTGGCCGTTACTACCGTATTCGGCTAGTCTTTTGAATCATGTCTGGTACAGTCAACTTGCATTAAACACTAGGTAAATAAAATAAATATAAGATTGATGTGTTTTTAGTTCCTTTTACTTTTTTAGTTTTTTTCTTAAAATTATTTAATTTAAAACAATAATAAGAGAATCGTTGCACCTATTAGATATATCATTATAAATAAAAATTTCTTTATATAATTGATTATAAGAACATATCATAGTTATTAAATTTTATATAAATAATATATAAGAAATAATCAAGTTTCTAATAGATAAATTGAAAAAAAAACTTGGATTTGTTGATCGTAATGTCATTTTTTAAATATCTTTATGGATTTTTATGACCCTCGAGTACTTACGCGTGACTTTATTACCTTCATTAAGATATATCGCTTATTATCGTGCGATATCGTTGAATATCCGATTGGCTCTCGATATCCTTGATATTTACTAGAACACTTATTGATTGAACATACACTCAACACCAAAAAATCACCACTAAATACTTTATGTTTACATGACAAGACGTATATTAAGTTCTCGGCGATGCAACGACTATATAAGATAATATATAATTCAATTGCATTTAATTTATATAATATATTACATAATATAATATAATGCAATACATGAGAAAGAAAGAGAGAGAGAGAGAGAGAGAGAGAGAGAGAGAGAATCAGAATTGTATAATTTGATCTAAATACTATGAACTATAAATCTTGATAAATAAAAGTATTTTTTCTAATACTTTTAATATGTATGAAAATAGTTCTGCTTTAAAATTTAAGTTTCGAAGTCTATTACTTATTTTAGTTCTTTTATTACTGTATTTGTAATTCAATTCTCACTCTAATCTTTGTCCAAACAATGTTTAGCAATGGCTGTTATCATTAAGATTATCCGGATCTAAGAAATAATGTAAGAAATAAAAATAAACTCACATTTATGTCAATTTGCCCAAGCACACATTATGTTCAGATGTACTTTATATATCTGTATTGTTCATGTACTTTATATATCTGTTGATTTTATTAATAATTCTAATATCAGTAGTTTGGAATCTACAAACATATAGAAGTTCATTTCTAATTTTTATCTTGTTATCTTTATAAATATCGTACAATAAACAAGATATCACAAAATATAAGATATCATATATAAATTTCATATATTCTTTTTTTTGTAGTTGACTGATTATTTGGAGCAATTGTTTATCTGAATTATCTCTCTCTAATTTGAATAATTGAAATTTTATTGTATAAAGAGAAACTCTTTAGTGACAAAAATCATAATGATTTTCTGATAATAAAATTCAAATAATGTAAAAAATATTATAATTAAAAGAAATTGAAATCGCGAGCGATTTCAACGCTGGAACTTTCAAATAATTATCGGCTCTTTATAAGAACTTCAATTCACCGGCATCATCTTTCTGATATTTTAATTTGATTTTTACATAATTAAATCAAGATAGCATAATAAAATAAATAAATAAATTAGACTTATTAAGTTTCTCTCTGCATTATAAAACTCTGTTAAATAAAAACCGTCGTTGTAGTTAAAATCACGTTCGTAACTGAAAATTGAACCGAGTTAAAACATAACGAAAAATTATATTAAATAATTATCATCTCAACTCGCAAATTTCTTGTATCCACCCAAATTTTCAAACGGCAGTCTGTAAAAGAATGTGTGATTCCAAAGAAGATCGAAGCATCCGCACTTCGTGCTGGGAATATATTGGAACGTCTAGCCAAACGTGACGCGATAATGGCTCGTATGGCTTAGTAGCGGGTCCAAAAATTTACTTCTATACACAAGTCCGAAGACAGGTTGATTGTAGTCAAACGCGCGCAGGTATTGTACCCTTAAAGACATTTCTTTAATCGGGTTCTGAAAAGAACGGTGGCTTTTTGACGGTCGTCACACAGCTTCCGAAACCAGTGACGATCGAAAATTAAATCTTACCGTCAAGGAGGGAGTTTTGTATTGACTGTCCAACGCAGAATCCTCGCAAAATCCATTCGCAAAACACATCTATCTTTAACTTCCATTCAAACTTGCTGTGAATATACGATATATACGTTTATTAAAATTAAAATTATGTAATATATTAATTAATTGCTGATAAGTATAATATAATACTTGAAACATATCAATCTATTCATTACTGTATCTCGAGAGATTAGGAAGAACTGATTTAATAAGCACGTATTGTCATGTGAACAAAGCTGTAAGATTGCATTAACAATCTTACGAATCGAAAAGTGCACATAAATTCGTGATGTATAAAATCAAGTGCATGTTATCTTTACAATTTATTTTTTATGAAAATTCTATATAACAAATATCAAAATTTTTTTTTTTTAACACCATTTATATATACAGTATTTGTTCAAGGCTAAAATTATAGCAGTTATGTAATTTTTTGTTACAGGCTATTGGAAAGTATGAAAATGCCGGCTAGAACTTCTGGTTTTGCCATCAGCGACATTTTGGAATTAAACGATGCCAAACCGTCGCAAGAAGAACCAGATGTGCAAGGTAATATCAAAATTATTAGATTACTAAATTAACTAAATTAGATTAACTAGTAATAAAGAAGAATATTTGCTATCTTTATTATATTAATTAAATATAATTATAAAAATATACCTGGTATTAATTTGTTGCAAGTTAAAACTGACAAAATTTACAAAATAGTACAGTTTTTATCATTTTAAAATATGAATATATTAATTTCATAAAAAAATTCACCTTAATTAAATTAATGTAATTTTAAAATCAAAAAAATTTCAAAGTTTTAGAAATTTCTTTACTACGCACATTTTTGCTTGAGTGTAAAAGAAGAAAATTAATAAATTTACTATAATTTTGTGTTCTAGGTACCACGACGATCTTACCAACGGCTACCGACATGCCGTCGGCTTACCAGCAATTTCTGGAGCACACAACCGCCATGTTGCAACCTATGCACGCTAATCTGAACAGGGGTACACTACCACCGCCTCCACCTGGATTATTAGGATGGCCAACTGGACCGGCATTACCAACAACATTATCTCAACCCTTGGAGGAGGTGAATGGTGAGCGAACAAATATAATTATTCTTTATTCAATTGTTTATAAATCGAGAGCATACGCGGCAGCAAAATTATTAAAATCCATCGCATAATTTTGAAAGTGTATATTTAATTGTACTAAGAAATAATTATTCTTTCTAAATTTCTTGGAGTGACATTTTACTTCAACACTGAGAAAAAAGATATAGTAATGGTAAAAAAAAGAGAGAATTATTCACAAGCGGCTGATTAAATTATTTTGTTAAAATAGCAACAATAAAATATAATATTTATTTGTTAGAATGAATAAAATTTTTTTATTTAATAGTACAAATTTATTTGGTTACTTACGTTTTGTAAATAATAATGTAAAATTTGATTGCCATTACAAAATAAATATTCTTTTAGTAATTTCAACAAAATAATTCATTATGATAGAGCGACAAGTGTTTCGCGGAGCTGTCAAAGATGACTTGTCTTCTCGTAAGAAAAATTCGACATCTACCTGTATAAAGCCGGAAAAATTAGAGACTAATTTCGGCTCTCGCCACTCATGGTATCAATCATTTTTTTAAAGCGATTGGTAATCAAAAATTTAAATCTATTGTATACCTTTGCTAAGCTAAGGAAGTTCAAAAATGTCAAACATAATTTCAATCTGTAGAAAATGAGAGTTATATATTATTTTTATGTAATTGTTTTATTCCAGTAATAAAATATTCTATTTCTAACTACACAAAAAACCTATAAATATCATAAAAAACAGTTTTGTATCATTAAATTATAAGTTCACTTAGTAAATTCCACAAATTAATATCGTCGTAGTAACCAACGATTTAATTAGTCATATATCAACAAATAAAGTTTTTGTGTAATACAACTTTGGTTTCATACAAAACATTTCTCTCAGTGAAAAGAATGAAAATAGTCACTCCTTTTTAAGATGAAATTTCATTCTTTTAGAATAAGATTCATTCCAAAGAAAAGAAGAATCTTACTCATTTTGTAAAGTAAAGCTTACTCCAAAAGATTAAAATCTCATTCCAAAAAATCTGTCACTCTTATTCAAGAGTATATATATTTTTACTCTTTTTCAATAGTCTTATGCAGCATTTTCAATCTTTAGGAGTGAGATTTCACTCCAAGAAATTTAGAGAGTTAATCTTTTAAAGAAAATGCGCGTAATAAATAAATTATATTAACTGCATTATCCAAATCACTTGCAACCTAAGGAATGAGATCTAATCATCTTCGATCGCTGCACTATCGTTTAAGACGCAAGTTTTCTCACCCCATTCCTCACTGATACGCAGCAGAAAGCACACGCGCTTTTGCGGGCGGACGGGGAAGGGGGTGCGAGATAGAAACCCTTATTTATTTAGCACCCTACAATTGGTCCGTGAGGGTTAAGCAGGATCTAATGGTTCTGTAAAAGGTCCTCGTGGGTACCGCACAGCGATTGGTCCGCGAAAGAGGACAGATGTTGAATCGGGGACAGATGCGAGAGAGGGGTTTTGTGTCCCCGACCCCCCAAATGAATCGGTATCGTCACGCCCAAAAAATTCGTCGACGACCTATCCCGCGTTACCGTCTCCTTTTTCCGTAGCCACGGTTTGCATGAGCGAAAAATTCAGGCAACGTGTCAAACCGTTGAGAAACGCATCACGCGCGAATAATTGCGGTCCTGTAGCAGATAAAGAGGGGAGAAGCACGATTGAGTAGATCTCTTTTATATCAGACATTTACATTGTTCAGTGGATAGCGTATTACACTAAATTCTCTCGAAGCTGATTTATAAAAAGTTTAAACGCTAAATATCCTGGTCTGATAAATCTTGAAAAATTGTACGAGCTAGACTCTTTTATGTTAGATTCTTTTATCGTCCGTCACGTTAAATTTGTTATAATTTCAAACAGAATATGAAAAATTTCTTCTATCTCTATTTTTATATTAAGAAAGAGATTAGATTAAATCTAAATTGATCTACTCTCCTCACTAAATTTCTCGATATACAAGTTCAAGTTCAAATAACAGCAATTGTATATACATAGAAAGTATTTGATACTTGTGACTATTACATGGTTAAAAAAACTATGGTTAGGAAGTCCAGTTTTATGGTTATATTATTTATAGATAAAAAAAATATTAGTAATAATGACCTTACATGCATAGTTCCCTCAAATATGAAAAAATTGTACTATAAATTATGATAACTTAAACTATTAATATATTAGGTGTTGGAATTAATTCGTAGCGTTTTTTAATGAAAGAATGTTATTTATTTCACATGAGCATTAAAAAATACATTAATGAAAGTACTTCCCATCACTTGTAAAACGCTACGAATTAATTCCAACACCTAATAGTAAAATATTATAAGATATAAATGATAAAGAAAAATAACCATTTTTATAAATACAATTATCACCATAGTGAATATAACTATTTTTTTAACATTTGCTAATTATTTATATTATAATAATAACTAAGAGATATGATAAGGAAAATCTTAATGCATGATGTTATAGTTGTAATGATCACATTTTAATATTAAAACAGTTATAATGTGTATGGTTGAAACAATTATAAATTTATAATTAACAATGACAACAATTTAAAGAACTAATATCTAGTTATAGACTCCTTTAGTAATAATAATTACAAGGTAAAAAAGGATATAGGAGTCGACGCTGGTTATAAAAAAGCGATAATTTTTAATAATGATCGAATATATTATAATATCTATAATACATATATAAACCTTGAACGTTTCAACTCTATTTCGAGTCATCTTCAGCAAAACCCTCCATCCAATGAAAAAATTATTTTGCGATGCAATATCTCATTTTTTTTTGCGTTAATGAATGGAGGGTTTTGCTGAAGACGATTCGAAATAGAGTTGAAACGTTCAAGACTTATATGTATCAGATATTATATTTGATTATTATTAAAAATTATCACTTTTTTATAATCAGCGTCAACTCCTATAGCCTTTTTTACATTGTAATTATTATTAATTTTATATAAATTTATAGTTGACCTAAAAAATGACTATAAATCATAGTTAAATTATAGTACTTGCAACCATTTTTTTTCTCTCAGTGTATATTTTATATTTGTTCGAGTATATTTTTTCGAGTATAAAATACATACAATTGTGTATATAAGCACGAAGCTAAAGTCAGAAAGACTCATTTTTGATAAATAAGTAAAGAGAACGCGTCAGTCCTTCCTTCGTCGCCATCGCGTAGCTTTCTTTGAAAACATTAATCGGCGGCGAATATTTAATTGAAATCACAGTACGACTGCGAGCACGATCTAATCTCCCATGAAAATGATATGGTTGATCCCATGGGGTCCAGCAGGGGTATCAAATAGGCTTTATATTGGTTCACACCCTCCCCAAGCGGGTTTCAGGGGTCGCTCACAAAAGCATATTGTACTACAACGAAAGCCAGTATCCCGACGTTGTACACGAAATTAGCTAGTATCTCGGCCAGGTCGTAACATTTACCCACACTTCGCTAAATAAAGTTATTGTATGTATATTTCTCGTAGCATAATTACCGCGTCAGCGAAATGACATTTGCCTTATCATCGTTTCATATTTTACGTATTGTTTAAATTTAATCTTTCATTATGTCGCGTTAAATCGTGAATTATAATAACAGTTTGTATATTCAATCGCTTCTATTTTCATAATTAATTAAATAAATTCTCTCATTATTTAGCGTCATGAAACAAAAGTTTAGGTATTGAAATAAAAGACATATTGTAGAGAGAAAAATTTATATCTGGAAAAGAGGGATGGAAAGAAAAATTTATATCCGAAAAAAACTTCCATGTCAAATTTAACTCAGGATAAACTCAGGATAAATTAATGGTTACGAAAGTTAACTGTCTAATTGTGATTAGAATAAAGTGTGATTAGAAGAACTATTAAAAAATCAATGCAAGCTAGCATCTGCCGGTAATCAACGCTAAGAGCAATCGATGGTGTCGGTTGAATCGAAATGCAGCTGCAGTTCGTTAACGTCAATCAAGTAATTGAGTCGGTTGATTACTAAACACTATACTTCTGCGTCATTCTATCTAACTATGTATTTTGATGACTACATCAATGATCTACGTAAATATAACTCACGGAAAAGTGTATAACAAGGTTAATTTAATTAATTACAAAAACAATTTCTTTTTGAATACTATTTCATATTATGTTAAAAATGTAACTTTTCTACAAATAATACTTCAAGAAGATTAATATCAATTAGAAAAAAATGCGATAAAACAAGAATCTTTTAAAATACAAGAAAATGTCATCTTAATTTCTTTTTTTTTTTTTTTCCTTTACTTTTCCAGTTCTTCAACAACCAGACTCGACGAGCCCGGCAATCTCGGATATGTCGTTCCCGTCACAACAGGAGAACAGTCACGAATCATCGAAGGACGAAGAGTCACAGGACTTTGAGGACGAACAACAGACTGGCAACGAGACGTCGCAACCCCATGAAACCGAGCATAAGAAACGTAAGCGACGCGTGCTCTTCTCCAAGGCGCAGACTTACGAGCTAGAGCGACGTTTCCGTCAGCAGCGTTATTTGAGCGCGCCCGAGCGAGAGCACTTGGCCTCTATCATTCGCCTTACGCCGACTCAGGTGAAGATCTGGTTCCAGAATCACAGGTACAAGACGAAGAGAGCGGCGAGTGAACGTGTTGAAGCCGGTGGCAGCGGCTGCTCACCCAGAAGAGTCGCCGTGCCAGTGTTAGTGAGAGATGGCAAACCCTGCCAATCCAAGCTGATGGAACCTACTGCATATCCCGGAAGCGGCCAGGTCCCTATGGCGCCATATATACCACAGAAATATTGGTGGTAAAGTAGTTAACTGAACTGACTAGGATAAAAACAATCCAGAGGAATCTGTGGTGATTCACGCTGATCAATGATTATTGCGAAACGATATTGCAATATCCCATTAAAATATTGTCGTGAACAAGAAGTTCGTCATAAAGAGAAGAGAACGAAGAAAGATGAAGAAGAAATTCAAGATGGAAGGTATGAATAATCTTATAGCAGTGATGTTGAACATGTTAAAGTGTTAGAAGGTTCGTGATAATGCGATAGTAATAATAATATGAATTCATCGATGACATCATCGATATTATCGTCAAAGAAAAAAGTATAAATGGTTAACAAGTGTTAGTTGAAAATAATTGACGGAATAAATTTTGGAACATTGGTTCTTAAGTTCAACTTCTCGTGCATATCTCCTCTTGAACGTAATTACAGACATAGACGTAAAATGAAAAGCTAAATCATTTCTAAGTTTGACAACATGTTTAACTATCAGGTGTATTTCGAGAAACGTATACAATCGGACTTCTCAAAGTAAAATTGCTTGACGTATGTTTTACGGAACAAGTTTCACGAGAGTGTTTAACACGCGCGTCCAACGAACCCAAGCTTAATTAAAATCAGTCACTACATTCCTAGAAAGATATTTCAAAATTGAATGAATTTGAAATGTTTCTTAGATATAAATTTTTTAACTTTTTCTTTCAATATATCTTTCATTCAATGTCTTTCAACTTTTTTTGTAAAAAAATTTGCGAAAAAATGAAAATTAGAAAATGTTTTACGATATCAATAGATATTTATTGAAACTAATATATTTTTGGTAAATATTTTATTATTTTTATAAATATGCGCAAAGGAATGTAGCGTATAAACAGTTTATGGGCGAATATATCTCGCACATAAAATATAATAACAAAGAAACTATAATGAATTAATTGATCTACTTATATACGATTATATTCTGAAAAAATATTACAATGGAATTTTAATGTTCCTCAAGACGAGCGATGTTCGCGATATATTAATTATATTCACGACGTAATACGTAGCTTTAATACGTATATATGATTATGTACAATTTGAAGTAAACTTTACTTCAAACTGTTGATACCGATAAATTCGATAATTGACAAAATTTTATCGTTAAAGGTACAAGCAAGCGCGAAAGATTTAACGTTACGTCGAAAAATAATTCAGATTAGAGATAAATCTCATAATTCTGCAAGTCTATATTTCTTCAATAGAAGATAATTAAAATCCACTGTGACCACTTGAAACTTTTTACAAGTGTTGATATTTATAAAAGAATTAGAGACAGTAACGAATATTGTCAGAAACCAAAGATCACTTTCACGTCTAATGAATTAGTTTGACGTGAATAGGTAAATAATTATAAATAAATAGTTATAAATAAATGTAAGAAAAACGCGTAGAGAAATTTTAGACGGTACCGATGTTGCGTTCTTACGAAATAAAATATTTGTACAAAACTGTTACACTTTACAATGATTCACGTATGTAGATTTTAAATTAGTCCTTAAAACGCGTGTCACGAGAAAGAATATCCTGTAAGTGCAAGGAATTCCAATTTAATTATAAAACGCATAACGTCTTGATATCGTATAACAAATAGCGTTTTTTCATTGGCAGAACTAGAGCACTCTCAGTGCAATTTAAAGCCGTTGTACACAAATCGACATAAAGATATACGTTTAATAAAATATAGAAACGAATTAAAAACCGCAAAATATTCAATACATTTTATTATGCTATTTGATAAAATACGTATTGGGCATTTTATCAAATAAGATATCCCACTTTTACATTTAAATTAGAATAGTGTACAACAGCTTTAATGTGCAATGAGTGCGCACTAGTTCTGCCAATGAAAAACGTTACAAGCATTCATGGCGGAATGATAATAAATCACACGAATGGATTACTGCCACAATAGATCGACTCGTGGCTCAATTGTGATCCGCTAATTCGATCGTCGAAAAATTTTTACGATATAGATATTTCTTCACGATTTACACACATAACTAATAAACTGTGCACGGTTTTTCTTCATATCGTCAAAGAATTCGCATATATGACATTTTGCAAGATTTTCTAGATAAAATTCTATACCTGTAAGATAGCTGTATAATTTCAAGATTCTACACTTTCCGATATTTTTCATTTCTCATAGTAGATTTTCGTAAAAAAGGAAACAGAGATTAATTTCCGAAATATATAAAACGGAATTTTTATAGCTGAATATCCTTGTCAAAATAAATTCAGCTTTGTTAATAATTTCGTTATACACATACGCATTTAAAAAGTATTAAAAGTTTGATTAAAACGAAAAGAACTTTGGTACGAGAGCAACATTTTGTCGATATTAGAATGAATCTTGTAAATCGTTATTTTAAATTTAAAATATTTGAATTTTTAAATAATATACCTGTACTATACCGATATAGTGATGTTTCAGGATGTAGTAATGTTTACTACAATATTATAGTAATCAAAGAATATATGCGAGGTCCTAACATTGCGAGTAATCGCAAGAATATCCAATGTTTCGTCCTTAATTAATTAGTTGTAGATTAATTGTATATATGTAAATTGTGTATAATATAATAAACTAATATATCAGAAGCATATTTAATAAATCTGGATCTTAAGATATCAAATTTTCTCTGTTTGTTTCTTCTTATCAATTTTATCACAAAACAATAATCCATGTCCTCTCCTCTCCCCCCCACTCTCTCTCTCTCTCTCTCTCTCTCTCTCTCTCTCTTTTCAATCTCTTTAAAAAAAGAAAACGTATTTAAAAAAGAGAATCAAAGAGAGATTTGAGATTTATATTCTGCCATGTAAAAATTTTTTGAATAAATTTTAAAGTTTTTAATAAATGATTTCTTTCGACCAATACGAGTTAATATCAAAGCACAATAATTATTTTGTTTTTATAATAATTGCTTTGTTTCAATATTAATAATATGTTACATAAATTCTATTACAAAATTTTTAATAATCATTTACAAATACAATTAATATAAAAAATATGGCAGAAGATTTAAAAATTTCACTCTAATACCGTATTGTTTCTTTTAGTAGAGAATATAATGAAACAATACATTTGAAACAATATCATTCTTTTCTCTGACCGTTCTAGAACTGTTTCCCTTTTTTCGGGACACGCCGGAAGTCCGCGTAGCTTGAGTGACAAGCTTCCGGTTTCCGTTTCCGAGCAGCCATCTTGTTACCGGTTTAGATTTCCTGAGGGCGCCCCATCGAGTCTCGATGGGGATCACGTTTGACTTCTGCAACCCCCAGAAAAACTTTTCATTATTTGCATTATGACGCCACATACGTGCACTCAATCGACAAGAAATTGATAGAAAATTCAAATTTTTTATTTTATAATTTCCTTTCGCGATTAAAATAATCGATCTCCAATCGCGATATCTAATCCGATTATATCGTGTAAAACACGATCGATATCTTAGGGGAATTTTATTAATCAGTTGAGTTTCGCAAAAAAAAATCCCCAAAACGATAATAAATATATTGCTTATCTATACGAATTATCAAGCGATAACCTGTCATGAAAATTTTTACCTTCTACAATTTAAATTATATTTAATAATCTATTATTAAATATAAATAAATTATATTTAACTATATCTATTTATAAATGTATGTTCTATCTTTTTTATAATTTAAAATTGGAACGTTAAGTAGGTATTATAGAGAAAGTTGAAAATTTATAATCACTCAAAAGCTCAATTTTAATAGCAGATTTTTTTATCAATTTGAAGGACTAATTTTTTTCTTAGTAAAAATGTTGCGCGGGAATTATTATTTATCACAATTATGTCTGTGTGTAAGATAATTTTTAATATTAAATTAAAATTAATAAAAGTTTACTAAAAATTATAAAATATTGTTTTCTGATCGACTTGATCCTATAAAATATAAAGTGCAGAAAGGCGGTTTTTTATGCTTAACGTAATATATTATTAGTGTCTCAATTTTGGACAGAATAAAATTTTTCTAAATTCAAAGAACCCCATTAACACGAAGATCGCAGGTCATCTCGTATATTGTATTGCAAGTATATGAACCGTATGAGACATAAATTAGGATGCACTTAGGAATATCTATCGCTGCTCCACTTCTATCGGAACAGGACGATACAAAGGGTTTCCCTCCGCGTCCCTTATCTCTCCGTCCCGCATCACGGCGGATGATGTAGCGAGGTAAATGGAGTGGACAGCGGGCAGCATATGCTTTGTGGCGATTTCTCCTGCTGCTGTGTACAAAACGAAACTGTCCCCACACGTAGAATATTCCGAGCGCGAACGGCGATGTGCGCGAAATGTCGGCGGTGCGCCGAACCGGAAGCGGGAGATAACATTCAACCCGCTACCGAGCCCGAATCCATGATTTATATGACCAGCCGTAATCTATAGATTTGGACATAGTCCACCGACTTTTACTCTACGTACCTACCGCGGTTGGTAAGGAGCACGTTTTACTGCACGCTTAGTGCACGAAATCAAGATTTGACCTAATAAGCTTTTAGTCAAACTTTATCTTTAAAAATATTTGTTATTTATGCCACAGTTTTTAGCTCTTATACTGTTAATAAATATTTTACAGTTCAACGAAAATTATTGTAAAACTAATGATATATTATAAATAATCGTTATTTATATGATGGCACATTGCACAGAATGGTTCATTTAAATTATCAAATATCAAACTACATCGCGAAGCGCGAGCATCATGAAGATGCATACGAGAAGATAAAAATTTCGCAGGGTCAGTGTATCACGCCAAAGCCATGCCAATCAATAGACGAAAATAAATTGATAGTTCGTCGAGCGACGGGACGTCCCCTAATATTTCCGAATGTAATCGAGGGGGTGTGCGCGCTCTTCGAGAACCCAGAAAAAAAAGGAAAAATACAAAACGACAAAAGAGGTGGAGGAGGATGAAGAGAGGGTGGTGGAGGAGAACGAATGAAGAAAGAGAACGAGGATGAACGTCGCCGAGGAGAAAAAAACGAAAAAAAACTTTGACAATGCAGTTATAGGCACACGAAGAGAGGGAGAACGAGTGGACGACGTGTTCCGGGGGTGTTTTATTGGCTGGTTTCCGTGGGGTGGAAATTTCGTATAATGTAGAGATGTTTGCGTGGACTCTTTTAACCCTCTACCCTTCGCGGAGGCTATCGCAAGCCTCTCTTAGTCGGTCCGTAAAATGTATCAATACGTAAAATTACGACCAGTGAATTGCGCGAACAAGATATCCGTATATTCAGTCTATCTGGATATATATTTTCTTTTTTATAGTTCATGATATATCACTGATTAATTAATTTTTATAAGTCTCTTTACCTAAAAAAATACATTGAGAGAAAACTTTGGTATTTGTAATAATTGCATGATAAAATAATTATAGTTAACCATTCTTTAAATTATTTCTGTTATAATGTTAACAATAATAACGATATATGTATAATTCTTTTGTGAAAAAACATGTGAAAAAATTGTACTATAAATTATAATAATTTCAATATTAATGTAATAAAATGTCAAGATGTAAATGATAAAAAAAATAAACATT